TAAATGATCTGCCAATGGAATTAATATTTTAATAAGATAATTAGATAAAATGCACAATTGTAATTTCTTAATTTAAATGTAAATTGTCTTGTTCCATTGGCAAAATGTCATTTTTACCTCCTCGATTCAAGAACAAATGCACTTATTTTAAGAAAAAATGACTTATCTAGATTTTGATTTTTTTGCAGTGTAAGAAGGTTTTGAAGATCTGTTTTGTTTTCAACCTTATATTTTTTATATGATGGCCAAAAGTTTAAATACTCAGTACAGGATTTTCTAAGATGTTAGGCTTGCTTGGATCTTCTCTTTGGAAATAAAAAGGCTTAGTGTTCCACAACCCTACTTCTTAGTCCAGGCATACCAAGAATATAGGAGGCTGTGACACAACCACTGCTAACCAGAAATAGGTCTTTGGGATATTATTGAGAGCAATCTCACATAACGCAACAAATAAACAATAACAAACACTACTGATGTCTTTCTGGGTTCATAGCAAACAAAGACTACAGATAATGGAATTTTAATCAATAAGGCTTTATCAGAAATGCTTTAGGTTGACTTTACAACCCTCTGTCCTCTTTAGCTTTAAAAACATTTTTTTATGCTACACTAAACAAGCCATATAATAACCAGTCAGCTTAAATGAGACTTAATTGATTAGCAAACATTAGTTGCACTTAAAGCAGTTTCTATGGTATCAATATTGCATGCAGTGATGCTACGATGCTGTCCAGCTCTTCAAGAACAGTTTCTCTCTTATCTCATAATTATTATAAAGATATATCTATTTTAGCTTTGCTGCAGCTGCTTCAGGTTTTCTGCTGATTGGTACTTTACTTCCAAATATTTTTTTTGTGTATGCAATCTATAAACAATGTAACTTAAATCAGATTAGATAGATTTCATGAATGAATAAATGTGCATCTGGGTGTTTATTGTTGTGCATGTTATGTTTTTGTATCAAACAAATTTTTTTTCTAGGGTACATGATAATTATTAAAGGTGGAAATTATTCCTAAAAGGTCCTGAAACTGTTCTTTTTGTTTCTATTTTTTTTTGCAATGAGAAAATCTTTCATTTCCTATCAACTGTAATCTGTGAAAATTACTCATTAGAAGTCAAAATGTGCAACATTCACCACTTTAGTTACACTTTAAATATGAAATTATTACATAATAGTCATTAAATGATAAGTGTTTTTAATTAAGAGTCATTTTTATTTGAATGTGCTTTACTGGAGGCATCCATGTTTGTCAAATACCACCACTGCCACCTACTGGTTTGTGACGTCACGGTGCGGTATCGGCTGTTGATCAAGTCCCAGTGCTGTATCTGGTGTTTGTCACAACGCGCTATTATCCAAGTCATCTTGAAAACANTAACCCCATCAGTGAGATTAAGCAATTTAAAGTAGTGGAACATTTCACATATCTGGGTGTTCAGATTTTTCCAGAACTACAACAGGTGGTCAAATCCAATTACGAACTCTTAATGAAAACAATAGCTGCCTCAATTGACAACTGGACATCTATGCCTATATCCATATTGGGAAGAATTAATGTCCTGAAAATGAATATACTTCCAAAGCTATTATACCTCTTTCAAAGCATTCCACTGCCGCCTCCTCCTGAACTATTCAATTGGCTAAAAAAAAACATTTTGGCTTTTGTGTGGAATAATGGAAGGCCTAGGCTACGCCTCTCGCTGCTTTATTTACCATTTGAAAGAGGGGGGTTAAAGTGTCCCAACTTTAAACTTTATTACTGGGCCACTCAGTTAAGGACTATTATGTTCTATTTTACAGATAAAAATAATCCTCACTGGGTAGAAATGGAGTCCCACAATTTAAGTTTAGCTCTTCCATTGTTCATATACTCTGACACATCAACGAAGTTAAAGAAACGTACTACAAATCCCATTCTGAAAAACATGTTAAAAATTTGGCAGGACGTTAGAAATTACCTTGCGGAGCCAAACAACATATCCCAATTTAGCCCAATATGGGGTAATCAGCTGTTTGCTCCAGGTAGAGCGGATGGAACCTTTAGGCTTTGGGCGCTGCAAGGTTTAAAAACTGTTGGTGACCTTTACCCATCAAATTCTGATATATTTTTGTCATTTGCAGAGCTACAAACCAAATTCAATCTGGATAAAAAACATTACTTCAAATTTCTTCAGATAAGAAGCTTTGTTAAAGCAAATTACAACAATCTTAACAAGCCCCCTCTTACGTTACTTGAAAAATTAATGACTCGGAATAAATCAAGGAAGGGCATCATTTCAGATTTTTATAATGTGCTGGTTTCTAACTCATTAGAGGACTCAAACAATAAGCTTATAAACTGGAATTTGGACCTATCATCAAATATCAGTGAACAGGATTGGGAAAAGGCTTGCATTAAAATTCACACAATGTCCATAAGCAGTCGTCTTAGAATCCTACAATTTAAATGGCTAATGCGTATCTATGTTACACCTGTGCATTTAAATAAATACAATAATAACATCCCAGATCTGTGTGTAAAATGTAATACTAAAGGGACTCTAATACACTGCATGTGGGAATGCAGACAAATCAA